ATAGAAGGGTATCTGAAACTAGAATGTCCCAAGCACTTCAGTCTCAAGGTCTTGCATGACCAAATCTGCTAATGCCGGTGAGAGCGGACAGCTCATGGGTGTCCCGAAATTTTGTTTGTAAATTTGATTGTCAAATGTAAAGTATGTAGAGTCAAGAATTAGTTTGACCGCCTCCAGAAATTCTTCACAAGGGATGTCACATCCCTTGGATATATAATCCCATCTCTTTTTTATACTTTTTAATGCTAGTGTACTCGGGATGTTTGTGAATAAAGAAACAACGTCTAAAGAAATCAGTAGCGTAATCTTTCTGTATTATACTTATACTTGTGTTATAACTTTTACTTGTGTTCGATAATTTTTTGACCAATTTATAACTGTTCGGGATCATAACCTTCGGGAGATCGTAGGACCTCGGCAGAATGCCATCACTACAATTAATCCGTTTATAATGCGTCTCAGTGATAAATTCAGATTTTTTCCATCTTGTGAGCAAAGTTTTTAAATTATTGGTCATCTTGTTGATCGGATCTTTTTTGACAGTTTCATATGTTTGTTTATCAAGAAACATTTCATTAATTTTTTTTAAATAAACGTTTTTATCAAATGCTACTGTTATATTACCCTTATCTGCCGTGAAAAATTTGATAAAAACGTTTATTTAAAAAAAATGTATAAAATGTTTTTTGATAAACAAACATATAAAACTGTCAAAAAAGATCCGATCAACAAGATGACCAATAATTTAAAAACTTTGCTCACAAGATGGAAAAAATCTGAATTTATCACTGAGACGCATTATAAACGGATTAATTGTAGTGATGGCATTCTGCCGAGATCCTACGATCTCCCGAAGGTTATGATCCCAACCCCTCTCATGAACGCAGCCTTGCCGTTTCAGAGGGGCTCCCCCGAGGCCGCAGGAGGCCTCGGGGGCTAACGGCATCCCTGTCCCGGGAGGTGTTCTCCCGGGCCGCTCATACCGGTCCCTACGGTCATGTCTCTGGGGATCGGGGGCCTTGGCTTCATCGCCCGGGCCGCGAGGATGTGGACCTCTATAATATAAAAAACCACCCCTAATCCCGAGCTGTGGTACGCGGCGAAGGATTCGGTGGCAGGGGGGAAGGCCTGTCTAGCGACCAACTTCGGGGCACCTGGCGCACCCCGTCGTATGTAGCCCTCTCTCCCGGAAAGGCGTCACCCGGGGGAGAGTATGCTTCGTCCTTACTCGTGGGATCCAAATGAGTACTGTTAATAAATCCACGACGAGGAAGGAGGCTCCTCTGGACCGAAAGAGTGAGGAGGAAAGCCAGCTTTCCATCGCTGGTGGTTCCGGATTGCCGGAACCGGAGATTGGGTCTAGCCTACCTGTCACCGTTTTTGCTAGACCCGGCCCGGCGTCATCTAAAGCCCGGGCGACGAGCGGAGCCCGACCTCGGTCGGATTCCGTCTCGTCCATAGCATCGTCGACGTCCTTGTCCAGTAGCTCTTACTTGGGTAAGAGAAAAGCGGACAAGCCGATGGACGTCGACCAGGATGATAGCGAGGAGGAGGACACGTCCGCCCTCCTCGACGACTTGGAAACCCCCAGGAGGGGCCCGGGCCGGCCAGCCCTCGACCCCTCACACGAGGGGAAATTCACTCTGGCGGAGCGTCAGAAGACCGCTGACGCGAGGAAGGCCAGGAGGTTGGCCCGAGAGGAGGAGCGAATGCTCGACCCGGACACCAGGGTCGAGTCAAGAAGGGCCAAAACGGAGGACATCCGGGCGAAGGAGCTGGAGGAGCGGCTCCGTACCAATTCGTCCGGGGACATCGCGGCCCTGGTCACAGAGAGGGTGGCCGACGTGAAGAGGATTGCGGCGAATTCGTCCAACCTCCAAGGTCGGGCCGTAAAGGCCCTTTGGAGCGCTGCGACCACCGTTACCGCTGCAGTCGCGGTGCTCAACGGCCGAGCACAGGGAGACGACGCGGGCCCCTCGGAGGCGGAGACGATCCGCCAACTGAGGGCCCGCGTTGACAAACTAGAGGCGGAAGCTGGTTCCCTGAAAAGGGAACTAGCAACCGCAAACGAGCGCGTGCAGGCGCTGAGCGCTGCCCCCCCTGCTAGGTCGGAGAAGAGCAGGGGGGAGGCGAGAAGGAGGGCAGCACTGTCCCTGTCACCCCCTCGGGGGGGATCCGGGAGCCCTCCGCAAACAGCGGCGGAGGACGGGGCCCGCAGTCCGGCGGCCGGGCCACCGACTAGGGGTGCCCCCAAAGTCTTGGGGGACCCACCGGCGAAGGTCCCGCCCGCCCTCCGCATTAGGAAAGGCGGGGGGAGGGCTGAGGCCGATGTGGGGGACGGTGGCTTAGCCGGGGCACTGGCGGCGGCCCTGCCAGGAGCGCTGAGAGCGCTCGGGTTCGTCCTCCCAACACCCCCCAAACATCCGGGGGGTACGGGGGCGGACAGGGGGGCGCCCGCTGCAGGCGGGGAGACGGGGAAAAAGAGGAAGAAGAGGGGGGCCCCTCCCCCTGTCTCCGGCGGAGACGCGACAATGGAGAGGAGCCGCAAATCTGCGGCCTCCAAAGCGACTAAGGGGGGGGCAGGGCCTCGACGGCCCTGCCCCAGCCCCCTCCCGAGCCGGTGGCCGGCCCTTCGGCTGCCAGCCGGCCCGAGACCTCCTGGGCCACGGTGGTCGGGAGGAAGGCCAAGAGGGCACAGAAGAGAGACGCGGCTGCGGCCGCCGGTGGGGCGGACGCCGGCCCGAAGGCGGCGGCGGGTGGCGGAAAGACGCCCCCCCCCCGCGGCCGCGGAGGGCCGGCGGGTCCACGGTGGTGGCCAAGCCCCTGAGGACCGCGGCGGTCACGATACTGTGCCCCCCGGATGATTACGCGGAGACCCTCAGGGCCGCCCGGCAGGGAGTCAATCTCCAAGAGCTGGGCATTGAGGGTCTCCGCAACAGGCGAGCCTTAACCGGGGCCCTGGTACTGGAAATACCGGGCCCCGGCAGGGAGGAGCAGGCCAAGAAGTTGGCGGCTTCGCTGGCCACCGTCTTGGCGGGCAGGGAAGAGGTCAAGGTCTCCGTGCCTGGCCGTACGGCCGAGCTTAGGGTACGGGACCTCGACGACTCAGTCACCTGTAACGAGGTGGCCGAGGCGGTGGCTGCGCTGGGCGGTTGCTCCCCCAGCGAACTGGCTGTGGGGGCCATTAGGCTGGCTCCCAACGGTTTGGGCACGGCCTGGATACGCTGTCCCCTTAGGACAGCCCGGGCCGTGGCCAAGGTCGGCAGAGTGACGGTGGGCTGGGCCAGGTGCCGGGTGGAGGTCCTCCCGGTGCGCCCCCTGCAATGTTTCAGGTGCCACCAAACTGGACACGTGAGGGCCGCATGCAGCAGCCAGGTCGACCGAAGTGGCTGCTGCTATAAGTTCGG